CAGCAACCTCTGCTGGTCAGAATAGGTGACTCCACAGTGCTCACCATCAGGGAGAAAGTCAGGGGTATCCCTGTGACTTTCGATAGTGCTGGAGAACTCAGACACAGCCTGAACTTCTACATATTCCCTGACTTACCATTTGACCTGGTCTTCTCTATGCAGTGGCTGAAGGCAGTCAACCCAAGGATCGACTGGCAGATCCCAAAGGTTGAACTACCTAACAGACAGGGGGTGTACCAGCCATGTATGATTGTTGTTGAACACCACCCTAAAACCAGTTGCTACTGTTTGAGAGCGAGGGAGTTATATGCTCTCTCGCGCCAGTACCACCATGAGCGCCTGTTCTTGGCTCTGGTCAAGCAGACAGACGCTCCTACTGTTTCCTGTCCTCCTGATATACAGCAGGTGGTAGACCAGTATGCTGATTTGATGCAGGAGCCCTTTGGGTTACCCAACCGGCCAACCAAGCATCGCATCGAGCTGCTACCTGGAGCAGTTCCTCCCAAGGGCCGCATCTACTGGATGTTCCCTGCTGAGCTTGAGGAGCTTAGAAAGCAGCTTGAGACCCTGACCAGCAAAGGCTGGATACGGTCGAGCACTTCTGAATTTGGGGCACCAGTCCTCTTCGTCCCGGAAGGGAATGGAGAATTCAGAATATGCATCGACTACAGGGGTCTCAACAAGATCACTAAGAAGAGTATAGAGCCACTTCCTAGGATCGATGATCAGGTGCAGGGCTACACAGTATTCAGCAAAGTCGACCTAAAATCTGGCTACCACCAGATTGAGATGGCAGAGGAGGATGTCTACGAGACAGCCTTCAAGACCACCAGATTGAGATGGCAGAGGAGGATGTCTACAAGACAGCCTTCAAGACCAGGTATGGTACTTACGAGTTCCTGGTCATGCCATTTGGACTTTGCAATGCCCCAGGTACCTTCCAGACTGAGATGCACCGCATCTTCAGGCCCTACCTGGACAAGTTCATGGTTGTCTACCTGGATGACATCCTGGTATTCAGCAGAACTGCCAGGGAACATGCGGAGCACTTGGCTCTTGTCCTTCAGTCATTAGGTGACAGCCAGTATAAGATTAACAGAGAGAAGTCCTCTTTTGGAGTTCCCTCTGTCATCTATCTGGGTCATGTAATCTCTGGAGATGGCCTGGCTCCTGAAGCAGCCAAGATAGCTGCTTTTCATAAGTGGCCTCCGCCACAGACAGTGAGGGATGTCATGTCCTTCATGGGTTTAGCCTCCTACCAGAGAAAGTTTGTCAGGAACTTTTCTACAGTGGCTGCACCCCTGACCAACCTAAGAAAGAAAGGCACTCCTTTTCTTTGGTCCCTTCCCTGTGAGTTGGCCTTTACACAACTCAAGAAGGCCTTGACTCGTGCACCAGTGCTGAAGTTACCTGACCCCACTTTGCCATTCATCCTGACCACTGACACCAGTCAGTATGGCATTGGGGCAGTTCTTCAGCAAGATGATGGGAATGGTCTACGGCCAGTAGAGTTCATGAGTAAGAAGATCAAGACTCAGAAGCTTCAGGACTCTACCTACGAGAAAGAGTTGTATGCTCTTGTTTGTGCCCTGAAACATTGGAAGCACTTTCTCCTAGGAAGACACTTCAAGATCTTCTCAGATCACTCCACCTTATAGTGGATGAAGTCCCAGGGAGAGTTAAACGATAAGTTGACACGATATATTCAGTTCATAGACATGTTTGACTTTGAACTGAAACATAAGAAGGGTTGCTACAAAAAAGTAGCGGATACCCTCTCTCGTAGGCCTGACTCTTTTGCATTGATCTCCTCTACTCACTCCTTCGGAGAGGAGACCCGTCAGACCATTGTTCGTCTTCTGCCTCAGGACCCGACTTTTGGGCCCAAAGTGAGGAATCTACAAGCGGATCTCAATGCTGAACCCGGCTATGCCCTGAGTTCAGTCTTGCTGTACACCTACAGCAGAGGTGAGGAACGTTTATGCATTCCCCAGGATCAGCGGCTCAGGACACTGCTGATGTCAGAGTGTCATGATGCCCGCGGACACTTTGGGTTCTTAAAGTCGCATGCAGCCCTGTCGCAGCGCTTCTTCTGGAAGGAGATGCGGAGTGATATGCTGCGCTATGTGGAAACCTGTGAGCTTTGTCAGAGGAACAAGGTCCAGTGTAGGCCTCCTGTAGGACTACTCAAACCCTTACCCATACCTGATGGCCCTGCTGAATCTGTGTCGATTCACTTCACAGATTTAGGCAAGACCACCCCTCGTGGCATGCGCCAGGTAATGGTCTGCGTGGACAGGTTCTCCAAATACGCAGAGTTCATCCCTTTGCCAGAGGTAGCTAGAGTCCCAGCTGTGAGAACAACCTTTTCAGAGAGGTGGGTCACACACCATAGACCGCCCACTTCTATAGTCAGCGATCGAGACCCCCGATTTTGCAGCGATGAGTGGCAGTCCTACTGTAAGGACTACCTGCACTCACGATTGGACATGACTTCTGGTCATCATCCTGAAGCCAATGGTCAGGCTGAAGTGGTGAACCAAGTCTTATTCCAATTGCTGCGTCCTGTCATCTCTCCAGATCAGCAGGACTGGGATCTCCACTTGGCTCGGGCACAACTTATTTATAACATATCTGTCCAGTCGAGGTTGCACTGGGGACGTGAACCACAACAGCCTCTCGATGATATCATCGATAAGGCTAAGTCAGACCTGACACCAGGCACCGCAGAGTTCACCAGACGCTATCGCATAGATGTGGAAAGAGCACGGGCGAACTTGTTCAAAGCCCAAAAGGCAATGATTGAACAAGCTAATCGCCACAGGCGGCCTTCCCCCATCCGCACAGGTGATTATGTCTGGGTAGCCAGTTCTGAGTTGTCGAAGGAGGAGGATATCTCCCCCAAGCTGTTGCCTCGTTACTTGGGTCCATGGCAGGTCTTAGATACAGTGGGCGCTGATCCATTCGGTCCATCCTATGTCATTGACGTCCCGCTGCATCTACGAACCTACCCGGTCTTCCATGCATCTAAGCTGCTTCCATTCACCCCAGCTGATGCATTCCTAGACCGGCCTCCTCAATTTTGTCCACCGATCCCTGGCAAGGGGTATGACGTGGAATGGATTAAGGATGAGTGGGGCACAGGCCCCGATCGGCAGTATCTTGTGAGGTTCGCGTTCCAGCCTCCTTCTGAGAACATATGGTTCTACAGAAGGGAACTTCTCAAGACAGCAAAGTCAGTTGTTTTACGATATGAAGCGGCTCAGAAGGGCAACCTTCCTCGCCGTTCACCTCGTCTGCATCCCTAGCTCGAAGGTCCTCGCTCCCCGGGGGGGTAAGCCTGCAATGACTTGCTGATTTAAACTGCCGAGACTGACTGCGAGGCTGTACAGTGTACTGCTGTGTTTGCTGTGTGCTTTGCTGTGTTTTTTTGTTCGCATTGAGGGCCGCCCGCTGTTCTAAAAATAACCTGAATTAACAGCAGTAGGGGTTGAGTGGTTACCGGCCCTAAGTGGCCTTGAGCCCTAAGTGCAGCAGTAGGACCGGTTTCGTAAAGGCCGAGTGGGCCCTAACTGAAACGGTACCGGTAGGCCCTAGGCTAGGGTAGTGTAGAATCTACAAGTAGGTTCGGGTAGGACTGTTTAGGACTTTTGGCTGTTCATTTTCACGACGCAGCGTTTTGGAGAAGCCAAGCAAGTTGGCGGTGGCAATTGTCTACAGGCGGCATCCTGAGACCCTTGCTGTGGACGGCAGCCATAGCCGGCCTTCTGAAGGTTGCCGGAGCTGGGGCATCCTCAGCGCATCTACCCCTGAGGGTATCTGCGTCTGGCCAGGCTATATCGAGGCTCCTCACTGAGTGTTTGTGGGTGGCGGCAGCCATACCTGCCTGTTTCTTCGTCAGAGTTGTCCATCGGCACTGAAGACTTCATCACCGGATCTGTTCTTCATCGGGGTGGTTGGCGCTGGCCTCTGGGAGGCTGTTTAGGTTGTGCACTACTAACTGGGTGTAGGATAGAGAGTGGAGTGTGGGGTTCTGAGTGTGGCGAGATACTGGAACAAACTCTGTAACGATATCTGGTTTAATTGCCTCTTCATCAGTGTGTATTCCAAATTGTTATCCTCGCAGGTTTCTTCTTGTGATTGGTTGTTGGGAGTACTGTCAGAGAATGAGGAACAGTGTGTGTCTTCTCCCCACCTCTGCATAGCTGTATTCCACTGTCTATTTTGATCTGTGTACAGTCCGGACTCTGTCTCCTCTCCCCTTCGTCTTATGCATGTATGGGCGTGTGTGAGAGTGTCTGTGAGTAGGTGGCGTTGAAAATCGTCAGACAACTAAGTTCATAACGGGTCTCTGTTAACCGCTTCGCAGCTCCAATCCCAAATCGCTGAAATTAATGAAATCGCTCACTCCAGGAATCAAACCTGCAACCTGCTGCATACAAAGGAGAACACATACCACTAGCAAAGTGGGCTGGGATCAACATGAAGCCCGCATACGCAAATTTCAGCCCACCCCAGCATGGTCAGTACAACATACCACCATGACTCGCTGTATCCAGACTCAACCCCCCTGCATGGACGGCGAATGGTTCAATAGGGTGGGAACTGATTCATGAAAGGCCGATTGGTTGGGAAGGGGGCATGAGACTCACCCAGTCTCGGGTCGGTGGTTTGGGAGGGGAATTCGATTTGGGTGTTAGTGGTGGTTTCTGTATCTATAGAAAGGTAAATAAGATAAGAATAGGGGTAGAAAAGGGAGTGGGAAAAGGGTAGAGGGGTGGGGATGATGGATGTGTCAAGAAGCGAGGCATGCTGAATCCTCAGACAGACAGGTCACCAGTTTTGCATGGGTGACTTTTTAAAAGTTTTTTTTTTTTTTTTTTTTTTTTTTTTTGGAAATCTGAGCAGCTCCGTCTAGCGGACCCGTCCCTGGATGCTCGAGCCTTACCCAGTTTTCAATGCTTTTTATGTACTTTCTAAGTTTCTACTGATCATGCCAGGTACTGCGGAGCGGCTGTCGTCATCGCAGCGAATGCCGGCGGCGCATGGACCCCAATCGGTGACGTGACAACCACTATGTTATGGATCCACGGTCAGGTCACCACCGTAAAGATCATGCAGGTCGGTACATTCATCTTTTTTTTTTTTTTTTTTTTTTTTTTGAAGGTTGTACCCCTTATGTCAATTGTATGTTTGTGTCTGTTTGTGTCTGTTTGTGTCTGTTTGTGCTGTTCCATCCGGCTTCTCTTTTCCTCTGTTCCATTGTCCTCCACGTCTGTATGCAGCAACTGAACCACCACCACTACCTGAGGCAGATGCTCCCTGTGCTCGGAGTGGCCATGCGGGGAATCCGCTAGGCAGGCCTACCTTCTTCGCCGAATACAACATACAGTCATTATTGCTGTGCCTAGACTGAAAGATACCCCAAATACAGCGATAATGACCAAACGACGTACGTTGTATTCGGGTGAAGAAGGTAGCATCCATTGGCCGTTGTAGTCGTTGGTGGAAGTTCATTCAGAGCCTCCTCTAAACCTGAAGGCCCAGCCGTGGATGCCGCATATGTAGAGACGATGCCTCACCTCCCGTCGTCACCCGAAAACAAATTATGGTCATCATAGCTGTATTTGGTTCACCATGTAGTCCAGATGCAGCAGAAATGACCGTATATTCTATTCGGGTGAAGAAGGTGGGGTACTGGTGGTGTAAACCATTGGTACCCTCTTTACAAAGTTAGTGAACAGATTCAAATTTCAAACACAGACATTTTTTGAAAGATTGGAGTACCGAGTCTGCGGACCCAAAAGTTCTCGGCCTACTGGTCGCAGCATAGAGTTGCCGGCATGATTTGTCTTGCCATCTCTTTTTTTTTTTTATGATTTTTCTTTTGATTTTTCTTTTGATTTTTCTTTTGATTTTTGTTCTTGACCCGGTTTTCACCTGTCAGCAGTAGCGAGTGCAGATCCCAGGGCTCGATCCCTAGTTCTCACCTTACCTGTGTATAGTATCTGTGTTGACCCCGAGTGTTTGAACCATACTTGCGGCGCATGCCGTGCGCGGCATCGCGGCACGTGCGGCGCAGAGCGCAGGGCGCAGCCAGCGCGCGCACGGCATGCGGCGGCATCGCGGCATGTGCGGCGCAGAGCGCAGGGCGCAGCCAGCGCGCGCACGGCATGCGGCGAATCGGCCAAAACAGGGGTCGTGGAAAAAAAAAAAAAAGTTCCGGGGGGCTTGGGAGGCCCGGAGGGGTACCGGGGGAAATTGCTTCCGTGGGCGCAAAAAAAAATTTTCGGGCCGCGCGGAGGCCCAGTAAAAGTTTTGGGGGGAGATCTGAGTTGTTCGTTTTCGAACTACTCAGGCCTCCCTCACGTCGCCGTTGGGCACCCTGGCACTTCACCGACCCGCCAGTTGTGCCTTGTCACTTTGGCGGCCGTCGTGTGGAACGTGTTCGTCGTTGTTTGTCGTCGGTCGTGCCCGCCTGTCACCAGCAGCACCAGCCCAAGCAAGAAACAGGAGGCAGCAGGAGGCAGCAGGAGGCAGCAGTAGGCAGCAGCACGCAGCAGAAGGCAGCTGGAGCAGGCAGCGGGAGCGAGGAGGAATCACCGAGCCGGTTGAGG